TTTAGTACATCATATGAACTGAAAACACACTGTCGCGCTCACACCGGCGAGAAACCGTACAGCTGTGAACAGTGTGGGAAAACATTCAGTCGGGCTGACAAGTTAGAAATCCATCGACGTATTCACACTGGAGACAAACCCTACTGGTGTGAACAGTGTGGGAAAACATTCAGTAGATCTGATTGGCTAAAGAACCACCAACGTGTTCACATTGAAGAGAAGCCACATTGGTGTGAACATTGTGGGAAAACTTTCATTACAATTAATCAGTTAAAGAGGCATGAACGTGTGCACACTGGAGAGAAACCATACAAGTGTGAAGAGTGTGGGAAAGCTTATACTATGAGCAGTTCCCTTAAAAGTCACAACTGCATCAAACGTGATGACAACTGAGGAAGTTTGTGTTGGAAAGTGCTGGAAAGCTGCAGGTTGGAGGGGTTTATTATCCAAATTCAATATTCAGTGTAAATTTACAGCATTAATAAATCATGGTATTAACATAAGATCGTTTGTTTTATACTATATGTACAAAAGTCATAAAATATATACCAGAGGTGGAACCAAGTCGTCATTTTACAAGTCACAAGTAAGTCTCAAGTCTTAGCATCCAAGTCTCAAAGGTCGAGTCCCAAGTCCAGACCAATCAAGACAGGCCGAGTCAAAACCGTCAAATCCCAAGACTTAAACTTTGAGTTTCAAGTCATAATGCGCCCTTCACCAAATTTCAAAGCACGTCATACTTTTTTTAAACATGAATTAAAAATGAAGGAACTGTATTAAATGAAGGGTTAACCTGTACAGACAAAAGGCAGAGGCAATCATTTAACCGGATTACTCACTGACCATCATTAATTGAATGTGAAGTTATAGCAGTTAAAATCCCGTGAAACCCGGCACCCAACGCAATTATCATTTTAAGCCAAAGTTGTAATTGAAAATTGAATTAATTGCTCAAGTCAAAAGCGTTAAATTCAAAGTCGAGTTGCAAGTCTTGTTTGATTATGTCAAGTCTAAAGTCATAATTTTTCTAACTCAAGTGTGACTGGAGTCCACGCCTCTGACATACAGGTGCTGGTCATATAATTAGAATATCATCAAAAAGTTGATTTATTTCATGAATTCCATTCAAAAAGTGAAACTTGTATAATGTTTACATTCATTCCACACAGACTGATATATTTCAAGTGTCAAACTAGACTGAGAGTGTAATGAATGAATATAATTGATTGAACCCGGGTGTCTCACACCAATGGCAGGCATCTTATCCATTCGCCATCACCAGCGCCAGCTGCAGATGGAAATAAACTTGTGGCGTGAGGTTTTTGTACATTGCTACATGGAGGGTTAACAACATATTAGGTGATTAAATAGTTGACCATGAGGAATTTCAGCTGCAGCAAATGTTGACTTGGAACCGCTGAACAAGACACTTAACCCCTAGTTGCTCGAGAGGCGTGTGACCTCTGACATGTACAGCAATTGTAAGTAGCTTGGTTAAAAGTCAGCTAAAAATGTATAAAAACTCCTGCTGCTGTGTGATTCTGTCACCAGGTGGCTGAAAATTAGACTGTCTGCAAGAAAGTTGATGACTCGTCTAAAGACAACTCTTTCTAACCGCTTTACAGAGAAGGGGCAGCTTTGATATGGGCCTGTAGTGGTTTAGTACAGCTGTTTCCATCTTCAGTAATACGTGTTATCCCCCCTGGGGAAATTTATCAGGCTTTTATCGGGCCATTGTGCTCCACAGTTAGGAACCACGTTCACAAACCTAAAGTTGCGGCCTTTAGTTTCGATAATAACCTTGGTCCTGACATCAGGTCTTATTGAGCCGCGACTGGTTTCCTCTGTAGTTTTAGTAACTAACTGAACAGAAACAGTAATCTGTCACATCACGTCTGATTTCTTTCTTTTTGTATAAAATAAGACAAAGTGTGAAACTGATCCACCTCTGTTACTCCGACATGTTCAGTCACTAACACCCTGTTGGCTTCACTGGACTATGACTAGTGTCTTTACTGGGACCTGTGTGGATCTGGATCTAGTCTCTGTTTCTATGTTTTAAAGTCTTATTGTGTCTCCTGCCAGCTGAAAGCTTCCTGCAGCTTCTGTCCAATAATCTGTCTGAAATCTATCTAATAAATATTCATCAGGTCTCAGATGAAGCTCTTCCTTCATGGTTGTGTTCATGCTGTTTCTGTTTCTAACAGACGTCCTCATAGGATCCAGCCGGGGCTCCTCTCTGCTCCACCTGTGAAAGTGGGGGGAACATCCTGGATGATGGAGGAGCTCGGTGGATCTCTGGGTCACCGGCTGGAGGACGGAGGAAGCAGAATGACCCAGAGACAACATGCTGCCCGTGAGGACGTCCCAGCAGAGACACGGAGGGAGGGTTACACCATCACTACACATCAGTGAGTGAGTCTCAACCTTTAACTGACTATGACAAAATAATGCTTGCAATAACACACAGTGAAGCAGAGAACTGTCCCATTAACTTGATGGGATGCGATCTTATTATTTATTTTTGCATTGTTCTGACCGAACATCCAGAGAGGTTAAAAGTTACGAGACTGCAGTTTCCATTTCAAATGGTGAAATACAGTCAGGAGGCACTAAGTTATGTCTGAGTGGGCTCTGGCGCCATCTAGTGTGTCTGCCACTGTGCTTACAGCCTGTTTATTGGACAAGCAAGGCTGCTGCTTATTCTGTTTGTCCTGCCCAATCTCAGCTGTTTCAAGGGGATTTTTGCTCACATGTGGCACTGGCTGTATCTGCTGATTGGAAATGGAGGGATTTGGGCAGATGGCTTCACACCTGCAGTCGGCTGACTGACTACAGGCCCTTAAAGTGGGATCCAGGAACACTGTAAAGTAAAGATGGTGATGGATACGAGGCTGTATTGACACACTCTGCTCTGGTTAAGAGAAGAAGCAGTTCCAGTAACATCAATGGCCACAAGTAGGGCTGGACGATTAATCAAGAAGTTGAACTTGGAATAAATGTGGTCTGAGCTCATTAGAAATCCTATTTGTCAGAAGGCCACAGACAGGAAGAGGTCCAGTCAGACACTCTCTACCCACCACTACAGCCTGTGATGAGGAAATGCTGAGACAATGAGCCAACCTGTCTACTGCTCTCTCAGGAGATTGGGTACTTTTTAAGGGCCACAGGAGGAAGCACTGGAGGCAGAGGCTCTATCAGGGGACAACAACTGCTGGAAGGACAAGGGGGACAGGACTAAATGACCACAGACCCGTCACCCTGACCTCTGTGGTTATGAAGTCTTTTGAGCACCTTGTGTTGTCCCACCTCAAATCAAACACAGAAACCTGGACTGTCTAAATGATGATGCATCTCTTTGCTCTGGCTCAGATGTTAGATGCTGCCCTACGTGACAGAACCGCTGGTCCAGATGATTTCCTGTTGTAATACTTCTCTGTTATTCTGTTGATAAATCCTCCAAAGACAAAGACGGTTTGTTGTAACTTGTTTGTTTGTTCAAATTTCTCAGTGATTCTCTGGTTATAAATCCAGCACACCCCTTTCTTTACAGTGGTGTTCTCACTCCCTCTCAGCAGGTCGTGGCATGTTTAGTTCAGCTCAAGTCAACATGACTGCAGGTTATTACTGCTGTAACTGGCAGTCACCATTATTAGCTTTAGCAAACGCCATTTTACACTGCAACAATTTATTATAGTTTTTGCTTAATGCCATCAATAGTGCATTGATTATTGTAATGTAGATTGAAATTTAACTCTCATCCACTGAGCCAGCAAGACTTAAAAATCATGCAAAAACATAAAATAAAGTGTGCAACGTGTTTCAGTGTCATCAAGGTGATATGATAATGTGGCAAAGTACTGTCCCGTTCCAGTTTACAGCATTTTATGCCCTTACAGCCTCAACGACCAACCAAGTGACGTCAGTGAAGTCTGTGAGGGTTCAGGATTCAGAGACATTGGGATTGGACAATTGTTTCAAAACGGCCTTAGCAACATGGGGCGGGCGAGAGGTCGTGGCATCGCGAGAACGCAGAGGCTCCAGGGGATCCCGCAGCCTTAAGATCAGATCTCCGAGGTCAGCATCAAGTCAGTCCAAGACAACGCGGTATACCAATCACAGCGGAGACCTGCTGGTAGTGATGGCGAGATGAAGCTTCGTGAAGCATTGAAGCTGTCCATCCAATTGGTTCACTCATGGGCCGAAGCTTCACGGCGCTTCATTTGCTCTACTGTGCCATCAAGTGGACATTAAATTTAAAACAGGCAGCGTGATTATAATGGCACCGTGGCTTTGGTGTGGGAAGTTTTGAATTGAATAAATGAATGAATGATGTTTGTGATGCCTAAATACATAATGCATAAATGATGAACTTTTTAATATGGTGTCCGTCTTTATGATCCAATGGTTATGACGTGAATGTGCTTGTGTTAGGCTACTTGGTTTGAGACTTTAGATAATGGAGCCAAAATTTTATTTATTATTATTTAAAAATAACTTTTCCACAGTGCTGGGCTTCAGGCGGTTTTCTTTTTCTTTTCTAAATAACTGATATAGTTTTTTAATTGCCTTTTGCTTTAGAGACCCCTGAATTGATGAGATGTAATGTTTTGAACTCTTTTGAAAAGGCAAATAAGCAAGGTTTCTTGTTTGCGAATTTACATTTGTGAATATGAAATTTGGTCATAATAATAAGGAGATCAAGTATACACAAGTGTTTCTTTGTGCGTTATTTTCTGGGAAACCAAACCAGACATTATTCCAAAGTAAAGCAAAACTTTCAGAGATATTTTAAGACATTTTTCACAATAGAACAATGCCAAAACATATATATATATATATATATATATATATATATATATATATATATATATATATATATATATATATATACAAACAAACAGTTTCTGGACATCCACCACAGAAACTACAGTTTACTTCAACATCTGTCCAGAATCTGTGCTTTATATAGTTTTTAGCTGGATAGAATGTCTGTGAAATTTCTTTGATTTTTTTGGGTGATTAAGTAGTGATTAGGTAGAAGAAATGCCTTCTTCCATACTAAATCATCCACGCTGCTTTAGAATCACACGCCAAACCCGCCAACCATTTCCTGAATCAGTCACGTGGTATGGCGGGTTCGCGAGGCTTCGAACGTCACCGAAACCACGATACTGAAGGACGCATCACCACAGCGGAGACCTGCAGGACGATGGAGAACCAGAACCCGGACCGCAGGAGCCAAACAGCAGCCTCGTGCTCTGATAGCGCCGATGTTCAGGTCAGTGTTCACGACTTCATCACGAGACTAAAGACACGAGGAAGAGTCTCGAGGGTCCGTGTATCATCCGTTCATTCTGTTGTTAGAGATCAGAGCCTGAAAACCCGCTCCAGGGTTTGTGTTGACGTGGTTTGATTTCCAAAGTGTCTCCGTGGTTCCTGTTTTCATCTTGAAGAGAGGAAGCTGAAAGAAAAACTCACGAGCGTTTCTCTTTTCTTTGTTGTGTAACTGTTGCCATTTTCCCGCGCGGCGCATGCGCGGTGCGGCCCGTGTTGTGTCGGGAGCGCGCAGAACAAACAATGATGGTGAAAATGAAGCAGAGTCATTATATTTGCTCGTGTGTTGGTGAGTTTCTCTCAGTGACAAACAGTCTGCCTGCATTATTGTTCTCTGAATGATCGTCGTGCAGGTTTCAGCTCTAAATAGTATCTGTGGAGACTCTTTGTAGAGATCAGAGTCAGTCTGGAGTTTAGTTTTCCTCCACTGCTGCTCAGCTTTTCAACACATCCTCTTCTGAAGTTTGTTCTGTGGGACTTTCCTCCACGGTGCCTTTTTCTCACCAGAGACTCTAACTGATGCAGTGACCTGTATTAGTGTTAGACAGGGTTCAAGTTTTATCAAAAGTTTGCAGTGAGATAATGAGTGTTAGAGGAGGAGAGACTCAAATATTTCAACGTACTGTATATTGTACACATAACCCTACAGTAGGATGGCAGAACCTTCCCTACGCATGTATGCCAAGCTGTGAGAGAGAGAGAGAGAGCAGGCTACACATTTCAGTCTATGAATGGTGTTTTGTGTTGTAGTTGCTGGCTACACATTTTAATGCCTTGATGACAGCAGGGGTTGGGGCTCCCACTGTGGATCAAGGCCATTTTCACCATCATGATGGATGATAGTGTTCTGTCCAGAGCCAAAATATAGAAAAACATCTCTAATCCTTTCCTTAGTTTCAGGTAGCCGAAGCTAAGCTCAGTGGTGGACAGTAACAAAGTAATACTGTACTTAAGCGATTATAATCGATAAAAGCGATTTTATAAACTTTTATTGTTGCCCAGCACTAATTAGGGCTGACTCACGAAGAGTCTCGGTCTCTCTACATCCACTTCTCTCACTCAGTTTGAACCTCGACAAATATTCCCAAAGTCAGCTCGATTCAGCACTCGGTTATTTGCATATACAGTCTATGGTTATTTGATGACTAACGTTAAGGACGGGTTGTCTTTCCACACTGGGGACTGACCACTGATATAATTATAATTTTTTTTTTTAAATCAGCGTGATTTATATTTGTTATATATGGTGTCAATATCTGAAATGTAAACAATAAAAAAAGAAAGTTCTTTCCCTGGCTTGGGCCCCAAGTGCGTATAGATGTAAAAGCGCTTTTACACTACATCTGCATTCACCAGTCATACACATTCATTCACTGAGCCTAAGTGCTCAAACGGAAACTAACATTCACACTCACAAATACACTGGCGGAACAGCCGCCAGGGGCAATTCGGGGTTCAGTATCTTGCCCAAGGACACTTCGACACGCAACCAGGGGGAGCCGGGGATTGAACCCGGCAAGAGAAAATAACAAACACGAGTACAGTGCAAATACCTTTCTGCACATAAACTGAATTTTTTTTTTATCTAAGCCGGCCATTAACCTGGGATTGTTTTGAGATTATTTTGTTTCAAGCATTATTTTATTATTCTTTTATTTTATGTAATTTATTTATGTGTAATTTGAAAGTTTGTTTTAAAAAATGTAAACCAATTTGGATGTTCACCGTTCATAATAAACCAGCTGCAATTTAATGTTTGCATTTTTTCCCTTTCTGTACCGAAAATAAACGCACCAGGCGTCGCCCTGGTTGGCCAGCATTCAACGCACAGGAAGAAAAAAATACAGCTGAATGAACTCTGTTCAGGTGAAAATTTAGAGGGAGAAAATATGGCCTGTAATATTTTGTCTCATTATACTGACAAAAAGAGAAATTTTTAGTAACGTATTTATTTATTATTTTAGTCTCGTCATTTTTCGTCAACAATATTGCATGTTAATATAGTCACAGTCAGCGTTTAAGGACATTGTCAATGTCTCGTTTTTGTCAGGGGGAAAACAGGTCGTTGACGAATATATTTCGTTTAGTTTCGTCTGACGAAAGTAACACTAGATCCTACATTAAAATTTAGCTCCAATGTCGACTGAAAATTTGGCATAGTGTGATGATCTGAGTCTTGACCTCAGGACCAGGAGGCAGAGCGAACTCCTTTGTGGGTTCTTGTTTTGTCTTTAGTTTTTAACAGCCAAGCTTAACTTTCCTGTGTTTGAAACGTTTAGTCCTAAATATGTCGAATGCTTTTTTGCTTGACAAAGTTGTTTCAAGTTGTGAAGCTGGTTTGGGTTTATTTGGAATTCGGGCTTTTCTGAATTGTGAAAATTTTGCGTTTGGTTGGTTGTTGGCTGTGAGGGCTGAGGTTGACAGATTTGAATGAAGTAGTCTATGAAAAGCATAAAGTCCGCTGATACACCAAGTGTGATCATGTTTGTGGATGTTTTATATCAAAATAGAACTGAATGTGAAAGGAATAGATAATGGTGTCTCACACACTTAATAAACATTCAAACTGGCAGTGTTATTTGTGCTCGCACTATTGAGCCATAACTATTCCATATGCACCTTTTCAGTTGTAAAAGATATAAGCCAAGTGCCAACTCAAATCTGGCTGCCATGGTGGATAACAGTCACTCCCACTAGCCACTTTGGTGTGTTCATCAAAACGCATCTGAAATAACAAACGAATTGCCATGTGACACTACTACTCCCATGAGTGCTACCTGCACTTAGTGTCCGCTCATTGGTGAAGTAGTGAAGCCTCTTGTCTTGCAAGCTAGTGACTGATGACACTTTAAACAAGAAGACTGGTTACCACTTATTTATTCACCATTCTCTATTTCAATGCTTTTGATACTGTACATATTGTCATATACTATACCAAATCCACCTACTTCAATACATAACTCCTGCACAATATACTTATATTACTTATATTCCAGCATCCTTTGAACTGTGCTCCATCGTACTGTGTACACGTGTATGCACATGCCGTAAAACTTTGAATAATAGCCCGGGCTTTTATTTGCTAAAATCCCTGAAGTGACCCTGCCTTTATTTGGGACATGCGTCCATATGGGACTGGCCTTTACAAAACTGAAACTACTATGAACAGTTTATTTATTTTAAACAGAATAATACTAATGTAAAAATTATCAAATAGTATAAAATACACATCATTGTTGTATTCAGTTTTTTTTATCTCGTCTTGTGTAGTTAAATGTTTGTGTCTTGTAAGTTGATTATAGTGATCTTGTATGGAGCTCCATGGGCCTTGAGAAAACGGCATTTGGTTCATTGTGTACTCGATATGTGGATGAATCGCAACAAACTAATTTGAACTAGCAGCCAAAAACTGTCCTGCTCAGCTTGAAGAGCAGATGTTGGCTAGCGCTAACTGCCTTCACTTTTCCAGTATTTGGAAAACAGACAGACTTTAATAAACAGACACACTGTGACCTGCACTGTACATTTACTGGCAGACTGAATCATAGTGCTCATCTTTTCATCTGCTCCACTGCTTTCACTGTTACCTACTGCCGCTTGTCAGGTAGCTGTCTTTTGAAGAATGATGAGAGGATGCTAACTAAGCACTACCATGCTGCACAGTGTGCGAGTGAAAATATTAACGTTAGTTGCGCATTGATTTTATCACGTGTAAAGTTTAGTAGCGGGAGTCAAGATGCAATCACCACAGAGGGTACAATTAGCGCCTCTGTCAGACCAGCCAGTACAATCAAAATTTACCCGACCTCCCTATGAAGCCTCATAGTAATCCACCGATTGACTATTCCAAAAAAAATGGTCTACCTTGTCAACCGTCCAGACAATTTGACATCCATCAATAAATCCACAGGGACTGCTGCGGCATCGTTTCGTATTTGCCAGCAGACGTAGCTTGTATGTCATTATAACCGTAATAACTCTGATTTTAATGTAAACAACTGCGATATCTTGTATTCAAATTAGCCGCTGAACTCTGACCTTTTGAATGACATCAAATTAGACCCAGTAAGAGTTCACATGTCCCTTTCACAGCTTATAATAGCCAACAAGAGCCCGCGCTGTAAGGAAGGCCCTATTGTTTCGTGTGTAGACCGAGCCAATTGCAACGAATTGTGCCGATGACTGGCATTTCGTGTAGCCAATAACATTCTACAAATAATGATATCCAGCTTTAGGTAGGATGGTCATGATTTACCAGCAAAAAACCACTGCGTCAAGCTACCGGCTAATACAGAGCGATGCCAGCAGCAGCCGCTTGCCAGCAGGGGACCCCCAGACTTCTCTTTCCCGAGCCACATTAACCAGCTCTGACTAGGGGATCCCGAGGTTTTCCCAGGCCAGTGTGGAGATATCTCTCCACCTAGTCCTGGTTCTTCCAGTCCAGGAGGCATCTTTACCAGATGCCCAAATCACCTCAACTGGCTACTCTCAACACAAAGGAGCAGCGGCTCTACTCTGAGCTCCTCGCGGATGGCCGAGCTTCTCAGCCTATCTCTAAGAGAGACACCAGCCACCCGCTTGAGGAAACCCATTTCAGCCGCTTGTACCCGCGATCTCGTTCTTTCGGTCATGACCCGGTCGCAGAACCGCAGCCCCTCCTCGCCACGACTACGCCTCAATATCCTGTCCATGAATATCACAAACAGGATTGGTGAGAAAGTAGTCCGACTTAATGCTGAGTACTCGGACACAGCTCTCGCTTTGGATGTATAGGGATTGGATAGCACTGAGAAGGGCCCCCCCCTCACCCCATACTCTCGAAGCACCTCCCACAGTATGTCCCAGGGGACCCGGTCATACGCCTTCTCCAGATCAACAAAGCACATAGGCATACTCCCAAGCCTACTCCAGGATCCTTGTGAGAGTAAAGAGCTGGTCAGTTGTTCCACGACAGGGACGAAAACCGCATTTTCTATTAACTGAATTTTGAACATAAAAAAGAACAAACATAATTCCCCTTCAGATACAAAATATATAAGAACACAAAGAATCAACAAAAATAAACAACAACAAACAACATAATAATAATAATAATTAATAATATTGAAAACAAACAAACATTAACTACAAGCTGTGAGTGACGGTCCAAGGACTACTGCCCAGTCATTTGCAGAAACGTGGGAAAAGTCTACTCAGAATTGTCTGGGAAGGCCAGCTTCCCAACATATTCAAAAAAGGGGTCCCACGTCTTTGAAAATTTTGCCTGGGAGCCCTTTATCAAATGCCTAATTTTTTCTAGTTTGGCAAAGTAAAGGACATCCCTAATCCAGTGAATGTACGATGGAGGTGTAGGAGATTTCCATTTCAAGAGTATCAATTCCTGGGGCTTTGCCACTGTGGAGTTGTTTGAGTACCAGTTCTCCAGAAGCACTTTGGTGCCGACCGAAAGTTCTTCTCCATCTCTTCTCCGAACTCCTGCCACACCCATCAACTGTGCGTGGAGGTCAGCCTGTGCGTGGAGGTCAGCCCCACCTGATGTAATTGGTAGCGCTCAATCTCCAGCACAAGTTCCGGCTCCTTCCCCAACAGAGAGGTGACGTTCCACGTCCCCAGAGCTAGCCTCTGCACCAGGGTCTGGTCCGTCGAGGCCCCTGACCTTCACTGCCACCCATGTGGCAGCCAACAGACCCCTGCGGATCTTCCGATAGATGGTGGGTCCAAAGGATGGAGAAGGGAGTGCCATGTTGCCACCTTTTTTGGGCTGTGGCCGGCCGGGCTCCGTGGCAAACCCGGCCACCAGGCGCTCGCCGACGAACCCTCTGGGCCTGGCTCCAGACTGGGGCCCCAGGTTTCCTCCAGGCACGGTCTCACCTCCTCTTCCTCGTTGTTCCATCAGGCGTCTTTATTAACAATTCTCGGTCTGGAACTACTTTGCCTTGGGAGACCCTACCAGGAGCACTAGGCCCCATACAACACAGCCTCCACGCTCACTGGGGCATGCAAACCTCTCCACCACAATAAGGTGATGGTTCCCGGAGAGGGTCTCATCTTCCAGAGAAGCCCAGAACCCTGCATTAACCCAAATGGTGCAACAACTACATTCAATTTACTTTGGATATGCCTTAAATAGGCATTGTGCATGAATTTTACAGGAATGGTAAGACCTGATGGTATGATCTGTCATCATACGCAACTCACTGGTTTCTGCATCAGACTGGAGTTCCCTGGGGTGAGGAGAGACCACCACCACATCCTGGTCGGCCGAGTCAATGACCACTGGAGGTGTAATGCGGGAACTCCGGCCCAATGCCTCGTCCGTTATTTGGTTCCACTTCCAGGATGCCGTGGTGGCCTCTCCTCCCTTTTGTGCTGACACCTGTTCTAGGTGCCTTCAGCCCCCTACAACACACATAAAAAAGCATCTGCATCTGTTGCTCTCATGGTTTCTGTGGCTTTCATCAGAAAAGCAATGGCATTGGAGAGAGGTCTCATAAACCTCAAGGATGCAGCAGCTCACTTTTAATGGACAATGTAACTAACTTGACTACTTTTGATAAAATTAAGTATTCTCATGAAAGCAAAAAGAACTCCTGATATGTAACGTTACCATAATACTTTAAATATCTACCTAGCGAGCAATCTTGATTCTTAATCTTAATTAAAAATATAAAGTAAACTTACTCAAATCCAGACCACATTCCGCCGCCCATTAAAGGTGGCTTTGTCAGCAGTTTGCCATCGGATCAGGACATCTTTCTCCTCAATCGGTCACTAATAACAAAAATAACTGAGATAACACTAGATTTGAGTTATGCATGTAGCAGTTTGGTTACTGCAGTTTTACATTTGTATTTATTCATTTAGCTGACCAAAGTGACTTACAATTGCTATACATGTCAGAGTTCGCACGCCTCTGGAGCAACTAGGGGTTAAGTGTCTTGCTCAGGGACACAATGGTGGATGTCTCACAGTGGGAATCAAACCCAGGTCTCCCACACCAAAGGCTAGCATCTTATCTATGCGCCATCACCCCTTTTTAACACTGTTATCTTCCATTCTGTACGCATTAGCTTGGCAGACTTAGGACCCATCCACACTACTCCGTTTTAGTTTATAAACAGAAAATCAAAAAGAATACGATCTTTGTCCACACCAGGGTTTTAGCTGGGATGGACCAATAACGAGCTGGGACTGTTACTGAATGTATCACGGGAGTGTAGCGGCGGATTTGTGTTCCACAGATATGCTTTAAATGTAATTTATTGTTTTAGATGGCTTGCTCCACCATGACATCTCACTTACTGTTTCTCTCTGTTGATATAGAGTAGGAGAAGAAGAGATGGACTCAAACGTCACCACTGTCAGCACTGTGACAAATCCTTTACAACATCTGTAAATTTAAGGATTCATCAGAGAGTTCACACTGGAGAGAAACCGTACGGCTGTGACCAGTGTGGGAAAACCTTCTCTCAATCAGGTAACCTGAAAATCCACCAGCGTGTTCACATGGGAGTGAAACCGTACTGGTGTGACCAGTGTGGGAAAACTTTCACTACATCAGATCACCTTAAAATCCACCAACGTGTTCACACTGGAGAGAAACCGTACAGCTGTGACCAGTGTGGCAAAGCTTTCATTACATCAGATCACCTGAAAATCCACCAACGTGTTCACACTGGAGAGAAATCATACTGGTGTGATCAGTGTGGAAAAACTTTCACTACATTAGGTACCCTAAAAATCCACCAACGTGTTCACACTGGAGAGAAATCATACTGGTGTGAACAGTGTGGAAAAACTTTCACTACATTAGGTACCCTAAAAATCCACCAACGTGTTCACACTGGAGAGAAACCGTACGGCTGTGACCAGTGTGGGAAAACCTTCTCTCAATCAGGTAACCTGAAAATCCACCAGCGTGTTCACACGGGAGTGAAACCGTACTGGTGTGACCAGTGTGGGAAAACTTTCACTACATCAGATCACCTGAAAATCCACCAACGTGTTCACACTGGAGTGAAACCGTACTGGTGTGACCAGTGTGGGAAAACTTTCATTACATCAGATCACCTGAAAATCCACCAACGTGTTCACACTGGAGAGAAATCATACTGGTGTGAACAGTGTGGAAAAACTTTCACTACATTAGGTACCCTAAAAATCCACCAACGTGTTCACACTGGAGAGAAATCATACTGGTGTGAACAGTGTGGAAAAACTTTCACTATATTAGGTACCCTAAAAATCCACCAACGTGTTCACACTGGAGAGAAATCATACTGGTGTGAACAGTGTGGTAAAACTTTTACAACATCAGGTGCCCTTAAAATCCATCAACGTGTTCACACTGGAGAGAAACCTCACTGGTGTGAACAGTGTGGAAAAACTTTCTCTACATCAGGTCACCTAAAAATCCATCAACGTGTTCACACTGGAGAGAAACCGTACTGGTGTGAACAATGTGGAAAAACTTTCACTACATCAGGTCACCTAAAAATCCACCAACGTGTTCACTAGAGATGGGGATCGAGACCCTGTTTCAAAATTTTTCAAAACCCAAAAATCAAGAAGGTTCGAGCTTATCGATACAGTTATCGAGACTTCTAGGTCCTATGATGTAATATTATGTCTCGAGCATCATATCTGATTTAATTTGAAACGCAATGGTTACGAGTTAGCTCCAAACTACTAACATGTTAAGTATGTGCAATAAAACTTCGCAAGTAAAAAGACAATACTTTATCAATATACCTGTCTCTAGGGTAACGTTAAACATGTAGAAAGGGTTAGTTTAATCATCTCTGTTCTCAGTCTCTCATCCTGTATGTTTTATAGAAGCTACCGCTAGCTCATCAAAATCAAGCTAAATAGAAAGCTGTCTGTCTGGAGCACAGACAGGTCTGTAGTCTTAAAAACTCAACTGCTGGCTGAGACAAACCAGCCGCTCCTCCTTCTACCTGGTAACGTTAACTGCCGCCAGCGAGAGAGGAGGAGGGACTGATCCAGACTGATGTTATTCTTTCTAAACGTCACCTACTACTTGTGATGTCAGATATTGACTATATGGTGACTTTGCTGTTGTTGTAAACAATGTTTCTGCTCTGGAAACAACATTTAGCTGTATTTAAAATATTAAAACAACCAAGCAGTTAATATGTACACTTCAATATATGTTTATTTATTGCAAGTGATATGCCATCTCAATATATAACGTTATCGCGCATTGAATATTCTTTCCTCATACCGTGCAGGTTTACCTCATGCCTGTTGGGTCTGGTCTTACCAAATAATCACTAAATTTACTAAATAATAGTAAAGTATCGAGAGTGGTATCGATAAAGAATCGGATAGTTAAGCAGTCTCAACAAGGGTATCAATATCAATAAAAATTACCGATCCCCATCCCTAGTGTTGGAGAGAAACTGTACAGCTCTGGCCAGTGTGGCAAATCTTATACAGACAGGAGAACCCTTAGAAGACACAAATGCATTAGTGTGACATTTTTCACAGAGCCGAGCTAGCTGTTTCCTTCCTGAATCCATCAACTGTTATCATGTGGCTGGACTGGAAGCTTTAAAAGGAGGGTGGTGCTTAAAATCGATGTTCTTCCTCTGTTAACCATGGTTACCTGCAAAGAAACATGTGCTGTCATCATTGCTTTGGACAAAAAGGGCTTCACAGACAAAGATATTGCTGCTAGTAAATTTGCACCAAAATCAACCGTCAGATCATCAAGACATTCAAGAAGAGAGGTTCAATTGTTGTGAAGTCTTCAGAGTCAGCAAGCACCAGGACTTGATTCAGCTGCAGGATCGGGGCACCACCAGTGCAGAACTTGCTCAGGAATGGCAGCAGGCAGGTGTGAGTGCATCTGCACGCACATTAAGGGGAAGACTTTTGGAGGATGGCCTTGTGTCAAGAAGGGAAGCAAGCCACTTCTCTCCAGGAAAAACATCAGTGACAGATTATTATCCTGCAAAAGGTACAGGGATTGGACTGCTGAGGACTGGGCTAAAGTGATTTTCTCAGATGAATCCTCTTTCCGATTGTTTGGGACATCCGAACAAAAGCTTGCGCTACCATCAGTCCAGTGTCATGCCAACAGTAAAGCATCCTGAGGACCCTTCATGTGTGCGGTTGCTTCCCAGCCAAGGGAGCGGGCTCACTCACAATTTTGCCGAAGAAAAAATACATAATGGTACCAAAACATCCTCCGGGAGCAACTTCTCCCAACCATCCCAAAACTGTTTGACGAACAATGCCAGCATGATGGAGCGCCTTGCCATAAGGCAAAAGTGACAACCAAGTAGGTTGGGAAAGAAAACATGAGAATTTTGTGCCCATGGCCAGGAAACTCCCCAGACCTTAGTCCCATTGAGAACTTGTGGTCAATCCTCAAGAAACAAACAATAACCCACAAATTCTAACAAACTCCAAGAATTGATTATGCAAGAATGGGCTGCCATCATTCAGGATGTGGCCGAGAAGTTATTTAACAGTGTGCTGGGCCTAATTGCAGATGTCTTGAAAAAGAAGGGTCAACACTGCAAATATTACATAAACATAATGTAATTGTCAATAAAAGCCTTTGACACTTATGAAATTACATTATATATTATACTTCAGTATACCATAGTGACATCTGACAAAAATACTACAAAGCAGCAAATTTTGTGAAAACCAATACTTGTGTCTTTCTCAAAATGTTTGACCACGACTGTATATGTAGAATTCAAATAGTTTGAGGTAAATTGTAAAGATGTGGACCTGAATCCCTCAACATTTAAGAAGACCATAGGATGTGGTCAAAAGCTCCAACAAAGAGGTGGTGTGTGAGGCTTGAGTTCAGACTCATTTATTACAGATGTGTCCCCCAAGGTCAAGAATGAAGCTCCACACTTGATGAAATATTGTTTCTGTGTGCTTCATACATATATTCTTGTTACTGAGCTGTAGTTAAACATGTTTACATTAAATAATCTGTATTTTACATCTATATTCACTGTTTTTATTTTCTGTTACTGAATGTGGTTTTGTTCAGACTGAAAGCAAATCCAAATTTATGACAGCTGAGGTGAAGACATGTCTGCTCACAATAAAAGTTCTCTTTGATTCTTGAAGAAGCTCTTCTTTGAAGCAGACTGAAGCTCTCAACGTGGCTCCTGCACCAACCCATGCACCATCTCCTCTGCGGGTTGTTTGTACTGTTTGCAGCTAATTAATGTATAAATATAATGTAAATATATCAGTCTGAGGGACGCCGACCAACATGTCAAATGATTCACCTGATTGAATCCACCTGATCATGACAATGACAACATTGATGATTTAGACCAAACTGCTTGGTAACTTGCCCATTACTCAAGAATATCTCTGTTCTATAAAAACAGCTGAAGCTCATTTCTTTTGTCTCCTAATGATATGTCTGCTTAAACAGTAAGATGAGAGCATTCATTGATGAACTGTTTGTTATAAACTTAATGTGACCATGTGACGGCCGAAGGGGGAACTGTAATAGAAACAAAGATTTTACCTGTCTGTACTTTTAATAATCCTCTATATGTCATTACTTTATGTTCTTTGCTCATCTTATGTGGTGTTATAATTCCCACTAAGTGTACCAGTGTTTTGATATAATGACCTTCTGTGAGATTGTTTTGTTTCATGCTTTCCTGTGAGAAAGGAGTTTCCACTGTGGTTCAAGGCTGAGAAAGGCTTTTCTGTTGGACTCCACAATTATTCTCTAGCATTAAATGTCTTCTCTGTTTCTCTGGGTCAGACTCTCTAACAGCCCTCTGGTGTATGAGCTCTGCCCTTCAGCTGATTCACTCTGTTATTCTTACTTTAATAAATATCACAAAGACAGCTGTTAGTCGTAACGTCTTTATTTCTTCATTTCATTTCTTTGTACTGTGACGTGTTCACCATTATCCCGTCAAGTCTGTGAAGCCACCGGATTGAAAATAAATCCAGTTTTATAAATGACACACATAAATGTGTTCAGATATGTGCATCAGTTGCCGGAGTTACTGATCTGGGGTTTATCTGATCTCGCTCTCTGAAATGGAAAACCCAGACTTTCCCTCATTTCAGGCTTAACATACTCAGAATTTTCACTATTCCCGCTTTCTGAAACAGGACCCTGTTGTTGTTCTGTTTGACTTGTTCTTGTTGACATTTCCTCGTTTAACATGGAGTGATTTTATTTATTTATTTATTTTATTTAAACTTTATTTAACGGGGAAAAACCAATTGAGATAAAATCTCTTCTTCAAGGGCGCCCTGGCAAAGAAAGGGAGCAGTACAAACATAAAACAATATTAGAAAATACAATTAAAACATTTACCCTTTTAGCTACAAAAACAACAGACACAACTCGCTGTCTAACCCGTACATTAAAAATTCAAACAGTAGTTAAAATACATCATTGTAATGCCTGCTTATTCAACAACAGTTACATTCATCTTTAAAAACCTCTGTAATCAAGGATTTGAACCTCCCAAAAGGTACCAGTACCTTCAGCCGGAGGGTTTTTTGCAAGGAGTTCCAGGTTAATGGTGCACAGCATTAGAAGACAGTCTTTCCCAGCACTGAAGGCACCCTGGGAACTTTTAAAAGCACCTTTTAATTTATACTGATGCGTCAAAGGTGGCTTTTTGGTTGTAAATTGATATAATGAGTGTACACAACAGATTTGATGTTGAATTCCTTTGCACAGATGTCACTCCGCGAAAAAACGGGTTTAAGTTATAATCAAGTATTGCTTATTACATAATTCAACATTTCCCTCTCAAACACACACAGTCCACCACTTGGAGAGGTCCCTGTGAATTAACATGCAGGATAACGGCGTACAGACTACATCCTCCAGTACTCATACTACTACACTGTTCAGTCTGCCAGAGAAGGATTTAGTGACTGACTAACTCTAACTCTAAATAACTCTAACAAGTTATTTGAAGTTTATGGGAAGCAAGCCTCATATTTTTTTTTGTAAGAAATAAAAAATAAAATAATAATAATAATAATAAAAAAAATTAGCAGAGCTCCTGCCTGACTCAGGCTACCAATCTACAGATGGAGATTCATGATGTACAGTTCCTGCAAACCAGCTACTAAGAATAATTCTTAGATCAGTTTTTGCATCAGAGACTTTTTCCTCCTCAAGATAGTGTGCGGCCGAGGACCAGCGAGAAACATAGCTGTGTCTGACTCAACACATCGGCCACCACCGTGTTCCAGTGAGCGCCACCTTGCTGGGGGGCCCGTGAATGTAGGTCTGAGGAAAGCTGAATTAGTCATCTAGAAGTCATTATAAATCACATCCTCTCTTTCACTATGGCCAAACGAAATAATAATTTCTAAACTGCTGATTAAAAACCCATGTCATACATTTATTTGACTCTGGGTTCACGTCGTATAACCTTATTAAAACCTAATTTATTTGCTTTAATCGTTTGTTATTAACCTTTAGCTGTAAATAAATGTTTCCTTTATCACCAAGTCTTTGTCTGTGAATTTTCTTCAAAGCAGAAACTAAGGATCAATGTATTGGGAATTCACAACTCGGTAATAAGACTGGTTATTCATATTTCTTTCATTTCTCTTTGATTGAAGGTGGTGCCCCAAATGATG